TGTTTTTACTGTGCTGTGCTACATGCTTCAAATTTACTAACTGAATATGTATTGTGCTTTTCTTGATCCATGAGTGAATATCTTTACTGATATTTGATTAGTTTTTGTGTCTCCTTTTATTATCTTGTGTTTTATTCCTGAATGCTGCAGAAATAAAGATTAAATCTTGTCTGATAAACTGACCATCATCATAACTGGTTATTTTAACATGCACACAGTGATACCATCATGACACAGAAAATGATCTTGAACCTTTCAATCAAGATTTTTTAAGTCTGAATATAACTCTTGTATCAGAAACACAAAAACTTTATCTTCTGCATTATGTGGAAAGTAAAGTAGATATATTGAGGGACTTTTAATTTATGTTTGAAAAGGTTAATACTGAGCAGTTCCACTATACTGAGTTTATAAATCACATCATAAGCTCATTCTTCATAAAACAGAAAACAATTGTAATTAACTTCATTTTAAATATCGTAATTATTTGCAATAGGAATATGTTTTTGTCACTTTGTAGCTAAAATATGTGAAACTGTTAACTAAACCCCAATGAAGACAGTCTGCGATCATGTGAGACAATCTGTTGCTCTGTGATACGGGCTGAGCCCCCACCTCACTCTAACCCCAGGGGGACTGGGGGACATTTGCTTGCTCTATTCTGGGGGCAGCAGAACCGTCCTGCTCAGTTTATGCAAATATGAGTTTCGCTCCAACGGCTGAGAGTTTAGTTTCAGGGTTTAAAACAGGCTTGACTGGGGCAGCTGTGAGGGGGAGGGACTGACCCCATTTCTGATCAGGGGACAGGAAGCGGAAATGTCAGCTACTCACTGGCTACATCAGTAGTTTTTTTAATTATTCGACATGGACAATTATTTATTCTGTATGAGGAAATTAGTTATTTTCTGATGTCTGATTTTAGAATAATTTCATAATCACATATATCAACATAGTTTAACTACTAGAGAAACAACATCCCTGTTTGTTTGAACAGAGTAAGGCTGGTCCAAGGGCCGCAGGGAGACCAGGATCTCCACCTTGGCTGAGTTTGCAGATTCTCTGCATGACATCTTGGGCTGTTTCCTGCCCCCATTGCCCCAAAACATGAATTGGAGATGCCACATTGTCTGTAGGTGTGAATGGCTTCGTGCCCCATGGTGGGCTGGCACCCTGTCCTGGGTTATTCCCTGCCTTGTGCTCATTGCTTCAGGGATGAGCTCTGGACCATCATGATGTTGCATAGAACAAGTGGGTTTGGAAAATGAATGATTTATACAAAATCCAGACGTGATACAAACAGCTGGGTATTTCTGCTTGGCAATGTCACAATATACTTATAATTCTGTATTTTAAAAAATCCAAAATAGAGTACATAAATATTTCCCCTACCAAGAGCATAAATATAACATGTTAATGCTATACAGCACAAGTTATATGCCTATTTTTTGCAATTTATCTAATTAATTTATTTATTCTTTAGGAATAATGGCAGTTCTAGTGGCCATAGATATGTGGGGAATATCATGTATATCTTTGATCACTGAAGCGCCTACAGCAGATGGTCTGGACATACACTGATGGTAAAGCTCTGCTATACTGCCCTACAGAGGCAACACATGGTAACTGCAGATTTTAGCAAAATTCAGCTATGACCGAAATCCAGTGTCTAAAGCTCTGTTTTATCTCGTGAGAAAATATCTTACTTTTTACTTTTACAGTATTTAAGAAAATTGAGTGTGAAAGTTACACTACAAAATCCAAGGTGAAACACCCTTTTCCCTGTTTCAGTGTCAGTGTAGTTACTGTGTTTCGCCTTTGAGGGGCAGTATAGCTCTTCCGTCTAAACACAGAAATTAGTTGTGATGTCCTGGGAAAACACAGCTCACTAATTTCACCTATAACCATTTGTCCATCAAGTTTTACTTGTATCTGTCCTTTTATTTGGTTTAAACAAACAACATGTACAGTTAGTGTCCACTTTATTAGGTACGCCTGCTCATTAACCCAAACTCCTGGCTCCTGCAAACAGCGAATTATGTAGCCGCAACTCAATACGTACAGCATGCAAACAGGGTTACGAGGTTCAGTTACTATGCGGTTTCGCATTAGATCAGCTAAGACGTGGTCTGAGTGATTTTTCATTTAAAGCATCAGAATGGCTAAGGTGTGGTTTTTAACGTGGTTTGATAGCTGGTGCCAGACTTGGTGGTTCCTGCATCACAGAAACAGCCACCTTCCTGAGATTCTCACTTACTACAGTGTCCACAGACGATGGTGTGATAAACAAAACATCCAGGCAGCAGCAGGTCTGCAGCTGTAAACACCTTGTTAATGAGAGCGGTCAGAGGAGAACGGCCAGATTCCTCAGAGCTAACAGGAGAACCACAGGTGCAAAAATAACAGCTCAGTACAACTGCAGTGTGCAGAAATGCATCTCCAAACACACAAACCCGTCAGGTTCTAGAGACATAAGAGGGTCCTACTTGTAGGGGAACTTAATAAATTGGTTGCTGAGTGGATATTTGTCATAAAATGTGTTAGGAACAGGGGACCCAGATGCAGAGCTAACAGTGAGCCAGTGCACTAGGATTACCATACATCTGGGTTTCGCCGAAGACGTCAAATTTCTGGGCCCCTGTCCGGGCGGTTTTTTAATAATCAGCAGTTTTTCTGGGTTTAATGCTGCAAGCTGTGTGACACAGTGTTGTAGGTTACAAATTTCCAATATTTGGCAGCCACTCAATGAATTGCATAGTTTGCTTCAAGTTGAACAAACTTTAGCTTAGTGTTTTGTAACTTTTGTTGAAGATGACTTGCATACACATATATTGTGTCAATTGTGTGTAGATTGTAAAACAAGAGTTAACTGTAAGGTTGCCATACAGTACATCTAGGTTTTCCCGGACACAAGTTTTCTGTTTTACATGGTGGTTAGGGGAAACTCGTTAATATTCATNAACATCCAAACACTACAATGACGGAACTGGGGACTACTGACTTAGACACGGACTAAATACAAGACACAGGCTAAGGGTAACAAATCACAGGTAAGAAACAATCAGGGAATCACACGAGGTAACGAGGTGGGCGTGGCACACATCGGGAGCGGACGGAGCGGGGCGTGACAATATACATATTTTTAGCTATTTTTCTTATTTATTTATTCATTTTAGGATTAATGACAGTACTAGTGGCCATAGATATGTGGGGAATATCATGTATAGCTTTGATCACTGAAGCGCCTACAGCAGACGGTCTGGACATACACTGATGGTAAAGCTCTGCTATACTGCCCTACAGAGGCAACACACGGTAACTGCAGATTTTAGCAAAATTCAGCTATGACCAAAATCGTCTTAAGCTCTGTTTTATCTCGTGAGAAAATATCTTACTTTTTACTTTTACAGTATTTAAGAAAATGGAGTGTGAAAGTTACAGCAACTACAAAATCCAAGGTGAAACACCCTTTTCCCTGTTTCAGTGTCAGTGTAGTTACAGTGTTTCGCGTTTGAGGGGCAGTATAGCTCTTCTGTCTAAACACAGAAATTAGTTGTGATGTCCTGGGAAAACACAGCTCACTAATTTCACCTATCCATAAAGTGTCCACTTTATTAGGTACGCTTGCTCATTAACCCAAACTCCTGGCTCCTGCAAACAGCGAATTATGTAGCTGCAACTCAATACGTACAGCATGCAAACAGGGTTACGAGGTTCAGTTACTATGCGGTTACGCATTAGATCAGCTAAAACGTGGTCTGAGTGATTTTTCATTTAAAGCATCAGAATGGCTAAGGTGTGGTTTTTAACGTGGTTTGATAGCTGGTACCAGACTTGGTGGTTCCTGCATCACAGAAACAGCCACCTTCCTGAGATCCTCACTTACTACAGTGTCCACAGACGATGGTGCGATAAACAAAAAGCTGGCAGGCAGCGGCAGGTCTGCAGCTGAAAACACCTTGTTAATGAGAGCGGTCAGAGGAGAACGGCCAGATTCCTCAGAGCTAACAGGAGAACCACAGGTGCAAAAATAACAGCTCAGCACAACTGCAGTGTGCAGAAATGCATCTCCAAACATACAAACCCATCAGGTTCTAGAGACATAAGAGGGTCCTACTTGTAGGGGAACATAATAAATTGGCTGCTGAGTGGATATTTCTCATAAAATGAGTTAGGGACAGGGGACCCAGATGCAGAGCTAGCAGTGAGCCAGTGCACTAGGGTTACCATACATCTGGGTTTCGCCGAAGACGTCAAACTTCTGGGCCCCTGTCTGGGCGGTTTTTTAAAAATCAGCAGTTTTTCTGGGTTTAATGCTGCAAGCTGTGTGACACAGTGTTGTAGGTCACAAATTTCCAATATACGACAGCCACTCAATGAATTGCATAGTTTGCTTCAAGTTGAACAAACTTTAGCTTAGTGTTTTGTAACTTTTGTTGAAGAAGACTTGCATTCACATATATTTTGTCAATTGTGTGTAGATTGTAAAACAAGAGTTAACTGTAAGGTTGCCATACGTGTAGGTTTTCCTAGACACAACTTGTTTGATTTACATGGTGGTTAGAGAAAACTCATTAATATTCAAAAGAAGCGCACTACCTGATTGGCCGGTGAACACGGAAACTCATTAATATACTTTTTTTGTCTCACCAAATATGGCAACCCTACAATACACTAGACAGGAATCTAATTCTATAGCTATTGTTAATAAGGCAACAATCAGCACAACCAAAGCGGAAACGAGGAAAGAGAGGTGGGCTAGTCTGTTACACTGGTCTGATCTCCTCTGGGGGGACTTTAGATTAACGTCCCCCTCAGCACCTGCAGTGAGTCCCAGCTGTAGCAGTGCAGTCACTGTGCAGTCAGACTGAGGGAGGTTTTTGTATGGCTCTGTATCACTGTGTGAACACAGCTTTACTACTGATATAGTGTTCACTCTGACAGTAATAATCTCCTGCGTCTTCAGCCTGGACTCCATTGATGGTCAGAGTGAAGTCAGAACTAGATCCGCTGCCACTGAATCGAGATGGAATCCCAGAGCTACGGGTACTTGCTAGATATATTAGGAGTTTAGGAGCTTCTCCAGGTTTCTGCTGGTACCAGGCCATGCGGGGGCCATTACTATCAGTATACACAGAGCTGCTGATTTTACAGTTTATAGTGACTGTCTGTCCTGAAGAAACTGATATCAGCTCTGGAGTCTGAGTCACAGTCACTTGTCCTCTGGATTCTGAAAAGAAATATGAAATAAAAACAAAAAACAAAATCATCAGTTAAAATTAAGTCACAGAAGGAAGCTCCAGATGTCTATTTAAAATATTACCAAGATTCATCAAGTAATATGTTGCTAAATCATCAAGCTTGTTCCGTTTTACCGTGAGTGAGGATGAAGAGCAAGATACTGAGGCTGATCAAAGTCATGTTTGTTTGGAGTCTGTTGTGATGATGGGCAGCTGTCAGGCATGAAGTGTTAAACCTCCTGGAATATAAACCCTCCAAGAGCACTGAGGCATGAGCTGAAATGCAAAGTATCTTCTGACTGACATCATAATCGCAGAAGAAACATGAAAAATGATGAATAAAGAGCTGTACAAAAACCTCCCTCAAAAATGATAGGGTGCAGGGAAATTCGGCTATTCAGTTCATTATGCTCTGGCTAAGTATAGCCATTGATATTTAGTAATTTTGATAAATAATTAGAGCTCACATACAGATTTATTTATTTATTAGAAATCCAAAAGGCAATATCAGGGCTAGATACTGTTTGATCTGTTATTACTTAACTTTTTATTCTTTTTACTGATATATTTACATTTTGATGTTACTTTCAGAATCCAGTGACCAGATAACTGTAACTTAGACTCCTGCAGTAAAGGCTGTTCTCCATGGGCAGACTGTCAGTATGAGCTGTAAAGTCAGTAAGGTTATATATTGTATAAGAACATCATCATCAAAATCAGCATCATGTATTTTCTCACAATAACCATGAAACAGAGCACAGAATCCTCACTGTGTGTGTGTGTGTGTGTGTGTGTGTGTGTGTGTGTAAAACAGAATTAAGTAAGACTTATGTCAATCTCTTGAACCTCAAGAAATATTTGCCCATTAATTGTCTCAGTCCAAAACAAGCCAGTCACCAACAAACTGCTAAGACAGTGTTAATGTTATTTACAGTGCTTATGGCATTTCTTAATAACTACAGGAACTGTTGGAGCACAATATTGGCAACATTATTCCTGGGACTCCTGCCATATAACAGTACACATAGTTTTAAGTCTGACCTCAACCTGAGCATCAGTGGAATCCAGGCAGAAGATGCAGGAGATTATTACTGTCAGAGATACCATAGCGGTGGTGTGTTCACAGTGTTGCAGAGCCGTGCTGAAACCTCCATTAACCTGAAACATGTTCAAACAGCAAATCATTTAATGCTGACTGGCAGACAAAATGTCATCATGGGGTTTCCTCCAGGTACTCCGCTGTCCCCCCACAGTCCAAAAATGTGCTGAGGTTAAATGGAGCTGCCAGATCGCCCATAGGCTCTGCGATGCGTTGGTGCCTCATCCTGGGTTGTTCCCTGCCTTGTGCTGAATAGGACAAGAAGTTACATAAAACGGATGTAAGACTGGATAAACTAGAGGTTATATCCTCCTGAGACCCAAGGAAAAAAGTGTCCTTCAGTTTTAGGTTAATTGTGATTTTCTATGTCTTTGGAG